GTGAGGACTAACAACAACAACAAGAATGACTCTACGGCCCCGCTGGTGTGGCTCAGTGGTAGAGTGTCAATTCATGAACCAAGATGTCACTGGTTTGATTCCCAGTCAGGCACATGCCTGGGTTGCTGTCTTGATCTCTAGTAGGGGGTGTGCAGGAGACAGCCAATTGATGTTTCTCTCTCATCAATGTTTCTACTATATATATTAAAAAGAATGACTCTATGGCCTTGGCCTGGTAGCTCAGTTGGTTAGAGTGTCGTCCCTATATGCCAAGATTGCAGGTCCAAGGTTGTGGGTTCGATCCCCAGTCAGGGCACATACAAGAATCAACCAGTGAATGCATAAATAAGTGGAACAACAAAATCGATGTTTCTCTCTCTCTCTCTCTCTCTTCCTCTCTTCCTCTCCCTCTCTAAAATTAAATAGAAAGATGATGTATTGTAGAATTATATACCTGAAACCTGCATAATTTCATTAACCAATGTCACCCCAATAAATCCAATAAAAAATAAACTAAAAAAAAAAGAACAACTCTATGATCTCTACCATTGAAGTGCTCACTCACAGTCTTTGCTTGCTTGCTTGAGTGAATCCTGTGGACAGAGAGCCACAGTCTCTGTGGGCCCTGGCCAGCGCCTGGCCTGTGTCAGAAGTCTTGGCTATGAAGGCACATGCAGGACCCGGCACATAGAAGGTGCTCATCAAATACTGCTTAAGAGAAATGAAAGAAGCAGGCTTTTGAAAGCTAAAGTATTTTTTTAAAAATATATTTTTATTGATATCAGAGAGGAAGGGAGAGGGAGAGAGAGATAGAAAACAACAATGATGAGAGAGAATCATTGATCAGCTGCCTCCTGCACGCCCCACACTGGGGAATCCAGCTCGCAACCCAGGCATGTGCCCTGACTGGGAATTGAGCTGTGACCTCTTGGTTCATAGGTCAACACTCAACCACCAAGCCACGCTGGCTGGGCTGAAAGCTAAAGTATTGCATGACGATGCCATTTTGTTTTATTTCAGCAGACGAAAAATTAAAATGTTAAAAATAAAAAATTTCAGGGAGTTAAAAATTCATCTTATGGACCCCCAATCCATATCCTCCAGCAAGAGGGTAATATTTTTCTTTATACCAAGTTTTCTTACTGCGTTTCCTCTCTTGTCATGTCCTGGATCATATCCCTGTGGTTTTGATAATATTTCTACTTTGTTTTGACTATATTATTTTCTTGTGGTTTGTTTCCAACAGCAGAGTATGTGGTTGTAATACATCCTTTTTGTTAATAAATTGGTGTATTCCACTGGTTTGAAATCAATTTCTCATTAACTTGGAAATTTTGGTGGGAGGAAGTTGATGCCTTAAAATAAGTACCTTGTTCAAAACCCAACCTGTGCTCCAAGCTGTCCTACTTCCATTGTTTTATATGCCCCTTGAGCCTTTTCGCTCTTCATAAAACACAGTGTATTAACGCCTTGAGTTCTTGCCTGGATCGTCTAAATAATTTCCAGAAATCTTAGACCTGAAACTGTTCTAGTTTTTTCATCACCGTTTATATTGATTTTATTCACTGACAACCTTCAAGTTCTCTTCCTTCCAAGTTCAGCTCCCCATGACAGAACATGTACTATAGAATGTGTATTTTATCTGTCAGGATAAACTAGTTGTGCTTCGGAAACAACCCCCAAATCTCAGTGGATTTCAATGGTGACTTTTGACTCCACCATCCCGATCTTTCCCTTTAGCTCCTTCCTGCACCTTTTGAATTTTGTCTGGTTCTGGAACTTTTGCTTACCGGATCCTATGTTTTCTCCTTCCTTCTTTGTCTTGGGTTTTCCAGTGCCAGAATGCATGCCTGCAGGTAGTCCAGTTGTATGGAGGTCCCACTCATTCATGCATGGGAGGTCCCATGCCTGCATTATTCACCTAACATTTTGTGAGCCTTCACTGCCATGTGCTGAGCGCCATGCTAGCTGTTGGGATACTGAGATAAATATGATCTTTTAAAAAGGCATATACATACATATATATAATAGACTTGACTTTTCATAAAATGGGGTCATGCTGTCTATATAATTTTGCACTCTGCAACTTTCATTTTCTTGCAAACATTTCCATGCTATTATATTTTTGATGGATGCATAGTATTATGTTGCAGAGCAGAATTGGTCATCTTTATTGATATTCATTGTTGCCATTGTATACAATGCTGTGATGAGCCTCTTTGTACCTAGATCTTTGAGTTTCTGGATATTTCCTTTAGGATCCATTTATAGAATGAGAATAGCTGGTTCAAAAAGGATAGACTTTAAAAGAAAAGAACCCTGTGTGTGTGAACCAGAATAACTTTTTCAAAATATGTCCTCTGTGCTGGGCTTTTAGAAATAGATTTATAGTTTGTGTGGGTCAGTAATTCTCTAGAAAGAGAGAACCTGGCAGGACTGTTGTTTTCTAGCTGGGACTGTTGTTGTCTGGTTATGTTTTGTTTAATCTCATTGTGAACGGATGTTCACCCACAAAGGGGTCACTGTACTCGAGGCACCTTGAAAGATCCCGAGCCCAGCAGTCAGAGAGGGCTTTGGCATTGGGCATCTTGGCCACACCAGGTATGTGAACAGGTCAGCACTGCTGTTTCCTCGGGACTGATGATATGATCTGGGGGTGAAAAGATGGAGGAACACAGGGCTCCTTTCTGGGGCGTCACATCTGTTATCACCCAGTCCAAGCTGTCTTTCCTTTGTTAAGCGCTCTTCCTTGACTCTCCTTTGTGCCACAGTTGTATTCATTATCTCTATTCTGACTGTTTCTATCATGTATTACAGTGATTGATCGATCGATTGCACAGTTGTATTCATTATCTCTATTCTGACTGTTTCTAGCATGTATTACAGTGATTGATCGATCGATTGATTAATTGGTTATTGTGGTTAATATACATAACACAAGATTTACCCTTTAACCTCACCCAAGGACACTTTTTTAATCCTCACCCAAGGACACTTTTTCCATTGATTTTTAGAGAGAGTGGGAGAGAGAGGGAAAGACAAAGAGAAACATCGATGTGAGAGAAACACATTGATTAGTTGCCTCCTGCACGAGCCTGACCAGGGCCCGGGCTGGGGAGGAAACTGCAACCAAGGTATATGCCCTTGACCGGAATCAAACCCTGGACCCTTTGATCTACAGGCCAACGCTCTATCCACTGAGTCAAATCGGCCAGGGCTAACCATTTTTAAGTGTACAGTTGAGTGATACTAAGTACGTTCACATTGTTGTGTAGGCATCACCCCTGTCTAGCTCCAGGACTTATCATCTCATATGGAAACTCTTACAATGACTTGTTTTTCATTGCTTTTACTACCAGACTATGAGCACCTCAGGGTCAGGAGCATTGTGTCCAGATCCCAGAAATTTGGTGCTGCCTCTGGCACTTAGTAGGAGCTCGTGAGTGTTTGAATGAAGAGGTGGCAGAACCACCTGAGGATACTTCAGAGGAGGGCCGTGTGTGGTGACAATTGAGTCCTGGCTGTACCGTGTGGAGATCTTTTCTGTCGCTCTTTGTGGCACCATTAGCCTCTTGGGCATCATGGCTTCAATACACCATGAGTGCTGTGACTGAATTAAATTGTATGAATGCTCTCTGCTTCATATTCTTTCAGCAGTTTCTATGACATTCATTGGCTCTTATTAGGAGCTGATTTTTTATTATTGTTAATCTAAATTTTTATGATTACATCCTGTCTCCAATTTAGAGTATTAGTTCTTTGGCAGCATAAAGCATCTCACATTGTAATATTACTGCTGATGACTAATATACTACTTCATTGAAGCTAAGATGCCGCTGACAGTGTGATGGACCAGTTATTTTCTGTACCTCTGAGAAACAGAAAACAGGAAGAATAAAAGCTGCCCCTTAACCCATGGCACACCCTTGGTTGTAAGGGCATGCTAATTTCAGATATCTTAGAATGTGAAAAAAATGTCTTTGAATGAATATCTCACAGTAGATAAGAAATCAATGCTTGATCAGGTTATTTTGTGTCGTGCATATTTGTGTTATGTGGAAGGTAAATAAGAATATTTATAAACATTACAGGAAATGGCCTTAAAATTTCATATTATGAAAATCCTGAATTAAATTCCCATAGATTCTCGTCTTGGGACTGTGAATCCTATCATTTTTCCTTTTGAATTTAGCACTGTGTTCTTTCCTAAGGTGGCTTTCCTCATTTTATTTCACTCACGTTGCTTTCATATTTTTGTTTTTCACTAGATATTTCAGTTTATTTGTTGTGTGTGTTTTTTTGTGTGTTTTTTTGGGAGGGAGGGGGGCAGTTTTTCATGTGGGAAGGGTGATCCTTATTTTAAAGGCCTCACCTCATGGAACCTTCTAGAACATTTCCTTAGGATCCAAACATCTCAAGATTATCACAAAGTGACAGAAGTGATGAGAACAAGAGTTAATGTTTCTAATGCCAAGTACAAATTCCCATAGTGAAAATACATTTTTAGACTAGAGTATAAATATTTTGTAAAAGTGGCCAATTAGGTGATTATTATAGCAGCCGGTTAGAGCTTCAGGCCCCGGGAATTCACACCAGCAATTTACAGTTCCTCTTGCTTAGCTGTGAGTGACCTTCATGAACATTGCTCGACCGATGGAGTCCTTCATTTATTCCTGGGAGCTACACTTCTCTGACTTTACTAGCTGAGAAGAGCAGGACCAAGAAAGCATGCTTGTTTTTATTTTCCACGTAAGCTTCCTGATGATTAAAATGCTCACTTGCCTGAGCTTGATTCCTCTTATGAGTAATCTTGTTTAGACCTAGAACCCCGAATTCTTACCTTTCTAGGCCATCTTATTAATCATTACACTAATAGTTGGCATTTTTTGAAAGCTGGCCATGTGTTAGTTAGTTCAGTGGCTCTTGACCTTGGGCACATGAGACTCTCCTGGGACATTTTAAAATTCCAGCTCTCCCCAGACTCTCTGGGAGTGGAAGCCAGGCATCGGTCGTCTGTACAGCGCCCCAGGTGCTTCTGATGTGCAGCCAAGGTTAGCCCTTTCCGTGCATTATCTCATTTAATCTAATGGCCCCTCGAGGCGTGTATTCTTGTCCTTGTTTTATAGACGGAAACACTGAGGACAGGATTGATTAACCCGACATAGTGGAGACGCCAACCCAGTTCGTCTGATTCCAGACACTGTTCTTTTAATACATATTAGTTATGCCTTGGAGCCAGACGGTTTGATGAAAACAAAGCAGTTGCGTTCTGCAATATTTATAAAGGTAACTCTTTCACATCGATTCAGGAAACACTTTTAAAGTCCTGGCTATTGTGCAGACGTCTATGTCGTGTTCTTTGCTCTTGTAGTTGGCTCCTCATGCTGTATCGGCTTTCCACTGGCACAGGGGTATTTGCCCAATTGGCCTTTTATTACTAACTCAGACGGTCCCTGAATGATCCCAGTGACTTGTTAGGTTTTGGGTGCTTTCTTAAGATCTGTAGTTACTGGAAGACAGGTTTGTGTGTGTGTGTGTGTGTGTGTGTGGAGAAAGCAGGTGTTATCATGGAACAAGTGGGTTTATAGCTTAAGCCAGTGCCGTTGTTCATCTGGGAGCTGTTCGCAGAACTGCAGAGATGGCCATAAGCAGTCCCCAGGGCCAGCCTGGTGAGTGCACACCTGCCACAGAGGAACTGAGGAGAAGGGAAGCCAACTGTGCATTCCAGGAAAGGCCTGGGGAGGAAAGGGAAGGGAAAAGAGAAGCTGGGCTGGGCAGCCACAGGGGTGAGGAGAAAATACTACAGGGAGAGAAGGTCTCTGATGTTTGAAGGGGAGAGATGAAGATGTGGGAGGAGGGAAGGTCCAGGAAGCCTGCATTCCTTGTTCCTTGATGCCACGTTTGGGATTCAGGATTCAGGATTCTCAGAGAGGAAGGTGTGTGTGTGTGTGTGTGTGTGTGTGTGTGTGTGGAGGGGGGGAGGGAGGAGGGAAGGGGTGCACCTGACCTTGTGGATGAAGGAATGACGGAACTGTGGTGACAGAGATGGGCTGAGCTGAGGGTGATGGGGGACCTCATGTGAGATGGTGCTGATAATTTTGGCAGAGTAGGAGAGATGGATGATCTGATGAGAGAGAGGGTGAAGGTTCAACCCCAGGGGAGAGCAGGCGTCGCTGAGCTGGTGGCTGGTCCCCTCTGCCTTCAGCCGGCAACGGGATGGTGAGGAGCCCCGCTGGGCGATCAAGTGGAGTGATTATTCTTGTGCTGTGCAGCCCTTAAATGCCTAGTCCCCTTTAAGTAGAGTTAAATATAATTCAGATTCCAGAGTGGTTTCCATTCAGCTTTTCAAAAATTCATCTCCTCCTCACACCAATTCAAGCTCACAGAGCATAGTCCCTTTTCCTGAAGACCAGAAAGGCTGGAAGGAAGGTTGTAGGCAGCCTTACCTTTTTTGACAGCTGAGTTGAGTGGTTTAACTAAGTGACCTGCCTAGTTTGAGCATTTGGTGGATCTTTTAGATGTGTTTTTAAGGGTTTTGCAAGTTTGATAGAAATTTAGTTTTTGAATTTTTATATATCTCTGTCTACCTACACTTTTACCAGTACTTGTAACTTAAAGTACAATATAGGTACAGAAAAGCACTCTTAAGTGCCTTGCTGGATGAATTTGCAGAAACCGAATACAGCTGTGTAACACCACTGAGATCAATAAACAGGGCTACCTGCCCCTTCAGAAGCCTCCTGTGTCCCCTTCCGCTCCCAAGCCCCTCCCCCCGAGGGAATCCTTATCCTGATTTCAAGCTGAAATATTAAATTAGGGTGTGTAATCATGTCATACACAAATCTGAACACAGTGGAGTCCACCAACTGTTAGCTTATGTTGCTGGGTAACTTCTTTTTGTGCAGATCTTGCAATAAGATGGGCTCAGCCATTGTCTTGAAAACGTGGCATTAATTAGGAGGGTTGTGGCTTGGCACAGTGTGTCGACTTCAGCTCTGTTCATTGCTCTCATGAACTCACACACGCTGCCCCCATTCCTGCGGGGGGCTGGCTCAGATGTGTTTGCTCGCTCCGTGCGACACACCCGTAGGTCTCATAGGCAGTTCTGGAATCTGTCCCAGGTCCTGGTGCCCCCCGGGCCTCTGCATTCATCCCAGGAAACACCCACGATCGTTGGGTAACCTGAGGTACTCTTAATGTCAGCAAAGGTTTCCTGGTACTCATCTTTCAAGCATGAGCCTGAAGAATTGGTTTCATTGGCCTGCAGATGGATAGATAGATAGATAGATAGATAGATTTATGTTAAAAGGACTGTCCACATTAAAAATATTGCGAGATTTCACGTCCAAATGAGGGTTTCGGGTTTCTCTTGGAATGCCTGAAGGCCTGCTTTCCTGGGCTGGGCATTTACTACGTTAGTCTCTGCAGCCCCCTTTTCTTGACTGTGTGCTCTTTATTTTGTGAGGCTCACTCCTGGGCCTCTGCTTTGGTTGGCATCGGTAGAGGTGTGGCTAAGTGTCTTCTGAGGCTGCTATAGTGAGGACTTTAAGAAAATTTGCAACGTTTTGTAAGTTTAACTCAGGGTTAAGCAATTTATCTATTTCCCAGCAAATATATTGTCTAAATCAGGGGTCCTCAAACTACGGCCCGCGGGCCACATGCAAATACAAATATTGTATTTGTTCCCGTTTTGTTTTTTTACTTCAAAATAAGATATGTGCAGTGTGCATAGGAATTTGTTCATAGTTTTTTTTTAAACTATAGTCCGGCACTCCAACGGTCTGAGGGACAGTGAGCTGGTCCCCTGTTTAAAAAGTTTGAGGACCCCTGGTCTAAATCATGGATCACGAGCTTCCAGCTGGAATCAGCAGGCGTGGTATTGTATTTTGTTATTTAAAGGTTTTTCATCCATCTAGCTTTCGGTGGATAGGTCATACTGCCACCTGGTTCAAAGTTTACTAGTGGAGTGTATGACCCCGTCCGTGTGGAGACCAGTGGGGTCCAGTGCACGGGGCTTGAGGCCGGCAAACTGTGTGCCGATCCCGGGTCCACGTCTGACTAACAAGTGGCCTTTGCAGGTTCCTTAAGCTCTAGCTTCCATGTACTCATTTGCAAAATGGGTGTTGGGGACAGGAAATGACATTATGCCTGAAAAGTGTTAGTACAGAACTTGAGTATAGTGGGCAGACAATAAATATTAGTGGTCATTGATGTTAATATGATTTTTGTTGTTTTCCATGGTAGCTCATTTTATTTACTGTTTAGTCTTTCAGAAATGGGTCAACACAGGGACCACAGTGGAATTCAGTGGAATGAAGAGTGATTCTATATTGATGGACTTAAACACAGTGAGATGGGTGTGGAAGGGGGCAGGTTTACATTTATTGCATCCCGCTTGGTGTGAACACATTGATAAATAAAATTCAAGTGAAGAACCGCTGTGGCTTTTCTACACCAGGAGGCAGTGGAGCTGCTGGGGTGGCCGGGGTTGGTTACCTGTCCTCATCAGCCACTCTCCCCACGCCACCCCGTGAACCGGTGCATGTCACTGGTTCTCAGCTGGGCAGTGCCACCTGCGGGGGCACTTGGGGTCATTGTCAGAACACAGGGGACATTATAAATAGTGGGTGGGGTCAGGAATTCCAGAGAATGGGGACCTCTAGATGGCCTGCCCAGAGGGCTGCTGTAAGGCCTTTATTATTATTATTATTTTTAAGTTCAAGTTCTGTTTTAGAATATCTTTGGTCTGTGAGAGACTCTCCTCCCTGCCCCTAAAAGGAGTAATTGTATCATGACAGAGAGTGGTTTAACATTCTCACTGAGGATGCCCTGTGTTCCTGATTTGAATAGTGTCCGTAATCAAGAGTCTTTTTCTCTTAGAGGCCACTGATTCCTCTAGAGAAATCAAGGCTTACATACAGCATGAAAAAAAAAACTTTATTTAAAGAACACATTATAACCCGCGTTTAAAGCAGAGAAGAAAAACCTCACTCAGTAAATGTAACAATGAATGTAATGTTATTTGGTTTCATATTCTTATGTGAAACCAGTTGAGGAAAGGGAGAAGATGAGAGGCAGATAAGAGCCCAGGGACTGGGGAGAGGCTGGGAAA